AGAAGATAGTTTGGGCATTTCTATAATAGAGAAATATTCCAGCAACCACACCCTTGGTATTTGCTCAAGTGAGTTGAAAACTTATGCCCACATAAAAACCTGCACCTGGGTATTTATAACAGCTTTACTGATAATTTCCAAGCTTCTCCAGCAACAAAGATGCTCTTCAGTAGATGAATCAATGAATAAATTATTCATATCCAGACAATGGAATATTAATCTAAACTAAAAAGAAGTGAGCTATTAAGCCATATGAAAACTTGAAGGATTATGTATGGACCATAAACAAAATGAAAGTAACAAAATATAACAAAAATAACTCTTAAGGCTCTAAGAAAAATATGGTATTTACCAGAGGGAAAGGGAAAGGAAGTGAGACGAAGGGCCCCAGGGAGTCAATTGACACTGGTGAATAAAATTTGACTCCAGAACTATGTGGAGGGTGCATTGAGGTACACACATATACCAAAGTGTGAAGTTGTACCAGTGGAATTTATATAGTATTAGAAACAATGTGATATCAAAAAATATTTAAACAACAGTGGACAGAGTTTGTTACTAGGTAAGTAAACACTGTAAAGTGTCAATTAACTAAAAAGGAAATAAATATCACACTAAGTTTTTGTAATGCATTTCATAATGACACACTGTTTAAACTTAAAAATTACATCGGTTATTAGTGCAAACATATCCTTGGTGTTGAAGACATCAAATGCACTACAAATATTTAACTTAAATTTTGTTTACTTATAAGATAGTAAGTTCTTAGGAACAGATTTAGGTTTCAAAGATCTTATTTCATGGAAGGGCATGATACGATTTGGCATCATGTAAAATATTATGTACATACATACATATATATATACACATACACACATGTGTGTATATAAAATATCATTTGTATCCTTGGAAGTCAAAGTGAATGAATATTGCAAATTCTCTTCTGAACTTAGTAGTACTAATTTTACTGGGAAATTGAAAATGTTTTTATATTGATATAGTTCTATTTATACCATATGCCATATAATGTTTTTTTTTTAAGATTTATTTATTTATTCATACAGAACTGGGGTACAGGCCAGAGATGCAGAGGGTGAGAGGATTCACCAGAGACAGAGTG